TCTTAAGACACTACTATGGTTTATAATGAAAGTCGAACGCAGGCGTATCCCAAAAACGGGAATGAACTCACGCCAGAAATTTTACCTTATTATAAATTATCTTTCTAATCTCATATGCTGCCCTTGCAAGCTCACTTGATCTGAAAGGGATTGATGCTTAAATGACCTGCTCGCTAAAAATTTACTATTCTTGGTTGTCCATCTTTCCGATCTCTGTCTGGCTCTTACTTTCACCTGATCCCTCAGCCTGGAAATATGTAGCCTGAACATCATAACGGATTTATCTGACTCTGAGTAGATTCAAATTAAGCCATTACTAGTGGGATTAAAGCTTTTCGATCAGTGTCAGCATTGTTGTCGTATAGCGCCGGACATTGAAAAGAAAAACAGAAAAAAATCTTGTGTAGAGGATACGGTCGCCAACATATGCACTCTCGTGGATAAGCGCCCGTCTCTTAATTATCTCACTTGAGAATTGCCTGCACACTGGTAGCAAATTTGCCGAGCACACTCCCACAGGAAAAACTGTTTTCCAAGGAACAGCACCTAATTGTGAGCGAATATCTGTCGTCTCAACTCTAAATGAACAGAAAAACGGTTTGTTGATGGGCCACGTTGGGTACTAGCATCTTCCACCTCTCTATCCTCGTCCCTCGATTATCCTTGGAATATTTCCGTACAATGTCGTTGATATGTCGTCTCTAACTTTACTAGGTCGTTCTGGAAATCTCAATTTCTTCATCTGCAGACAATTTTGCAATAGCCTAGATTTTTTTGTGGAATGTTCTGGAAGTCTTCATGAGTTTACTCTACATGGGCACCACGGCTTCTTGTAGGCACATAACAAATCCGGTTCCCTCTTCATTGCTTATTAAACCTGTAACGACAGAGTTCTCTACCCATACTCAACACGATCTCATTTACGAGTTCCAATCCAGTCACTTCGCTGCTGAAGCTCATCAAAACCTGTGTCGAGTATTCGGTCCTGAACTCCCTTGCAGGCAGGCTGCGCTACCCTATTCCAGTTAGCTTCACTCTGGTAGTCTACTGGGATGTTGTAATTTCTCCGAATATGGTGGGTGCATATAAGCGAGTAGCGTTCTCTTGCACCATCTCTATGAAAATATTCAGAACACTGCAGGGAAGACTAAGATGTTTGTGCGAACTTTCCGGCAATTCCGATTCCTGGATTCTTTGAAGACACTCTAGTGGAATCTCTAATGTTTGTCTGAGTATTGGCCTGCAAGCTAAATTGCACAGTCATTTTTATCACCCCGTATATCTTTTTATTATCCTTTTCTATAAAGCACCCATCGAATATTTTAATATCTATTAAACGACGACAGTTAAGCTTGTTTTTCATTGATCACCTCAACTTCCACTTCTCATCGTTTACCGAGAATTCGTCAGAATGCTTGCCTTGTTATTTTCATCTAAAACTTCTCTTGCCGTTGCCATAGGGCGGAGGTGGCACGGTGGCAAAAAGTGCACTGTCACACCTATGGTCCCAGGAATGAATCACCCTCGAAAACGAAAGCAGTGCTTGATATAGGCTCAAGCCAACGAAGCCTTCTATCCAGAGAATTGGTAAATTGTATCAGATTCATGTGGAAGGGCAACAGCATTGATCCTTACATCAGTCTGCACCTGCAATTCGTTGCTTAGGTTGCGTTCGCATTCACTACGATTCTGAATGGATGTCGGCTGCGGGGCGCATCTTAGAAAGCGAGATAGATTAACGCCAGAAAATTTGCCCTTTATCCTTCTATCATTTCTTATACAGTTATCTATAATTCCTTACAATCCGTAAGATATGCGGTTACGCTCTTCTGCCACATAGTCTGGCATGAAATTTAATGAGTTTGGATGGATTGCATAATGTTTGGTTATTTGGAATTGCAAGTTTCACGAAGTCCTGCACTTACGGGATCCCGGCACATCTCTGACAAATCTTCGCCATGCCTCCAACATGCTTCAGAATTTGGGATTTGGAATGGTTAACCTTCTTTGTTTCGTTTTTTTTTNNTTTTTTTTTTGGGTAGTGCAGAAATCATTTGACGAAGAACTGCCTTCAAACAATAGGTGCCGCTGAATTGATGTGAGAGGGAGTTCTCTTCAGGAGACGGGCAGTTGGAACAGTGTAGGGCAGCCATTTCGCCAAGCACTTTAGCTTTTCCCTCTCCGCCAATAGAGCTATTTTCATAAGGAATGCTGAAAGTATTTCTAATCAGCTGTCGGTCGATGTGTGACCCTCCATGTTATCACCACTTTGCTGGGTAAGGAATCTGAACACCTTCCATAGTACACTCATGATATGTGGCTTGAGAATGAGAAGGAAATCAAATTGGAACCCGTCGAATGGAAGCAATTCGAATAAGAAAGCAAGGATTATTTGTACTGACAATTACTTCTTCAGTGCGGTAAGGGCCATTTCGCACCTTACCAATGCGGCTATTTGACGAAGGCTTTCAACTGAAGAATGGTCTATTTCGACTGACCCACTTGTTCTTCAGTCGCCTATTCTCCTCGCCATTGGTCACCAACTCCGCATCTCTGCGTTGAACATTCTTGTGGAAATACTTGACGTCGTCGATTGGGCGGTTTACTTGAATTCTTTACGAAGTTCGTATATAAGCTTCATTAGGCTGACGTTTCGGCGGAATCGCATCTTTCAGAATATGGAAGTATCTTAATGATCTGTGAAACAAATTCTGCTGTATGCCAAGACCAATAGAAAGCTGTACGTAGAAGTTATCGATTGCTGTGAATGGCTCAGTTCGATAAGGACCGACGTAGCGATTTTTTAAAAGACTTACCCTGATAATAAACTATCTCCATTGTATGCTTTGTGGAAATTAGAATGCCTACTGCCCCCATCGGATAACTAGCGGAGGATCGGACTGGCTGCTGGGTGCCATCTGAGAGAGAAGTGACCTCGTCCTCCATTCCACTTCCTATCACGTCATATCAATGGTCAAAAAATTTAAAGAACGCATGATTCAGGGACGCTTACGGAAGGTGTAGACAAAATGTAGCAAACTTGGATGGTAATTTATTGAGTTGTTTGTTTATGAACAATAAGAGTGTCCAAATAAAATTTGACAATTTGCTGGTGCCAAGAAGTTCCAGGATAGGCGTACCAGCAGATTTTAGGGAGCATTCTGGGAAAGCATACGGGCAAGGGGCGCACTTCTATCCTTCTTATATATAAAGCAGTAACTTGGTTTGTCGGTTTGTCGGTATGTCGGTATGTCGGTTTGTCTGTATGTCGGTTTGTCGGTCTGTCCGTCCGGGTTACTTTGTGATTATGATAAAGGTAGTGATATGGAAAACTTATTCTTCTCATATAAAAAGCAGTCACTTCGTGGGTAGGCTAATGGAGTAAAGTGAGCACTGCGGAGTGAAGNGAGTAATATGAAGTGAGGTGGATGGTTCAAATTGTGATCTCTACTGTACTGTAATGGCAGTACTTCGACACTGGTGGACAATAAAGCAGCATCAATTAGTGAGGATTAAAGACGGGGCTACTACTTAGATTGTTTTTCCGCCGTTGTAATTAGCAAGGTGCTAGTTGCGACAACTGAGATGCTTTTTGAACGACTTTGGTGGTAGGTGGGCTAGCGCTTAAACGTTTCCTCTGTAGTTTGAGTAGTCCTCACAAGTGATTCTTAAGAGTCAGCTGATTGCAACGGTAAAAGGTCTTCGCATATATTCGTTGATAAGTCAGCTGCCAGTAAAGTCGAAGATCATAGTCACAAAAGCAGAACTGCGAATTGAGGGTTAGGGATGTGTTAGGCGTGGGTAGCACTCTGCTGATCTGTTTTCGACTGCTAGTATGATACCAGTTTGGTTTGAAACTCGTCGTTGCACTGGCACATCAAACCCGTTGACCCTCTGAGTCAAGAGCTAGTATTTTAGTGTTTTTAACATTTCCTTTCATTTTCACTCGCTGCCTACTAGCTTAACACCCACACTCCATTCTGAACGTCCATTAGATCGCTTTAAATGTAATAGCATGTCCCTTCAGTGTCCCATAACCCTGACCAATTATCACATTTGAACTACACGTTTTCGTTCTCACTTTCGTGAGATGAACCTTTTTTTTGCAGTCCGGCTTGATTTAGGGACATCGTTTTACTAGCAATAAGTAATATATTACATGAAGACGCCCAGCGGTGACTGATGATAGCTCTCATTTCCCCCGTCAATTTCGTCTTCTGGGCAAGAATTCCTTGCAATGGACTCCATTTTGATAATTGGATTGCGTCAAATGATTTCTTTGAAATCAATCGAGGTTTTATATGATAAGAAAGGGAAGTGTCTAGTGTTGTCAGGAACCCACTGTTTACGTTCCTGTGTGACCACGATTCTTTCCTCATTATGCTCCCAAGTCGATAATGAGATAGCGTCTCTGAGTTTCGTTAAGAAGCGTGTGTCTACGTTCTTCATTTACTGCCGAGATGAGCTGGCGATTCAGTCGCAATGGTCGAAGATCATTTCCCTCTCCATGATTGCTTATGGGCCTCCTTCTCCCGCCTCCTGTAATCCACATATCCCCGTCTGAACTAAAAAAGATTTGCTGCGAGAGGACTTCTGATCAATTTCCTTCCCACAGGAGCAGGATTTCATTCATACTCATCCACTGAGCATCTATCCTGCCGTCCAGGCCATTTCCTTGCGTCTAATCTTAGATCTCACTCATCGCCTTTTCCGCAACTAGTAATTAGTCCTTCAAGGGGCCCTTGAAAAGTCATTCGTTTCGCCACGTCGTCCCACTACCACACCCAATACTGCTCATATATTCACTTTCTTGCTCTCCTATTGCCATCAATAGTAGAGCAATGTGCCGTAAATTCGCCAATTGAATCCATAAAATCTCATCGTGCCGCAGGTTGTTTGCCAAGCTCCGTCTTTCCTTTTTTGTGGTCCAAATTGGATTTTTGTTTATTTAATCATTCAAAAAGGTTACATGCAGTGCTTTCAATGTCTATTGTTTTCAGATGTCAGTAACGTCTTTTCTGCGACGGATGTCCGTCGACTCAGACTCCCCGAAATCGAGTGCTCGGTCGAGTCGCGAGTCGCGCGAGTCGCCGCGGAAGAGCATACCTCGTCGGAGTCGCATCGTCGCCAGCATCGACTCGGCCCGACGACGATTCTCCCTTCAGCACAGTAACGATGATTATCATCAAATGCAAGCCACTGCGTTACGTGACAAGGATCGCCTCGATGTTGGCAGTTTGCCAGATTTTTATGAGGTGAGGACCGCTTGGAAGTATGTTTACGTATGATTTCAAGCTTGACATTTCATCAAAAGGAGATTTGTTTTAACATTCCTGCAGAGCAGTCTCAGAAACACTCGATCCTTAAAAGAGTCGTAATTCATAAAATGAGAGTATCCCAGGGTAGGTAGAATTTTGCTGCTCTCCGGGATAGCAAGTGCGACGTTCGTAGGAATGAGCGAATTTACGGAAAGCGGGTAGGACATAAATCGCTAAACAAATCTTAAGCTTTCCCAAAGGAGCTACAAAANAAAAGGGCATGGATCCTCGTATGAAAATAATGGGTCTGCGAAAGTTCGTGTTGTTATTCTCTTCCCTTTATTACTTTAAGCAAGCGTTATGCTTCTCCGACCCCTGAGGCTTTTTATTCAACAGGAGTTAGTAAAAAGTAACAGACGTGATGTTTACGTAGAAATTCTCCGAAAAACAATCAAGAAAAAAAAGAAAAATGCCTCTATCAAAAGAAAACAAGCATAATTGGTAGGTTGACAGAACTTATGTAGCGAACTAAAATCAAAGCTGAATCTCCCGGGTTGATTATCCGCTGCAATATTGCATGATAGAGCCAAGAATGTCCCATCGCAAAGAAAGTCTTTAGAAAAACCTTAGAAGAACCGAAAAATGCCATCTTTTCAAGTCTATTACACATTCGTTTGTAATCCATCCAAATATTTTCTTTTACCTTACTATTACTAATCTTACTACCTTCGGCATGAGTGCGTTCTCTCTGAATTTTTTAGTACTGAACAGCTATTCATAGCTACTGGAGCAGCTTTTATTCCCTCAAGTGTAATAGGTCATGAATATTTTAGTATCTGTAGCTATTCTTAGATTATTTTTATGAGTATGAAAGGTATAGTATCCTTGTCAGAGAAGTAATCACTTCTAAATATGTTCAGAGCATATAATCAACAAATCACATTTGTGCCCTTTTACGAAATCCATGGTATAATATTGGAGGAGCAATCCACGATAATTTTGAGGTACCTCTTTTTAGTCGAAAAGCAAGAAGCGAAAAGCGTGTAGGGATGGAATAGTTGATCGGTAGTGAGGAAAGCGAGAAAACTCGAGGATTTCGAGAAAAATAACGCTTCTTAAAGGTAGGGATAGTGGACGAGATTGCCACGAAGGAAATATTGTGTGTGTATTTGGACGAGATTTCACTTGTTGCAATTGCACAAAGAGCTAACTACATCAAGCAAGGAATGTACAGAACTGCCTTTCACTGTCGCTATGAATCATGACAAGTTGTATGATCTCACTACAATGGGTTTCTTGCGATTGGTGCAGCCTCTACAATGCCGATGAAATCGTCCGAGGATACACACGGTGCAACCTTTGAACCTTTATAACGCCCTATCTAGGCCTTTTTTAGGTATGGCACCGCCACATAGGGCACTACATACGGGGGTCCTACAAATCATTCTAGCGGGATATCTCGAAGGGGCGGAGCTGGTGTAGTGGTAAGTAATGCACAACTACAAACGCTTGGTCGGGGTATCGGATTCAAGATCTTTACTCGTGGATCGATCAACTTTGGAGTAACACGGCGTCCCGTTTGAGAGGGCGAATGCACTTATTTGTTCGTTGGCTAGCCACCGCAAGTCATTGTGTAGGCCATGTACGCATTCAAAACGCAGCTACGCTCAATGGACGCTGAATGAGTTAAAAGGGGCGGAATTTCTCTGCTCTAGTGTTATATTCAACATACGAAAAATTTTATTCAACGATGTAATCACCGTCGCCAATCACTGCAGTGAACCCTCTAATATCCGTCAGCACTCCAGCCCTTTGGGTATGATCGAAGAGATCAGTGACCACCTCTCCGAAATATCCTTTTTGGAGAATTTTTCTCGGTAAAAACACCCCAGAGGCATGGATCATAATACTTATAGCCACCGTTTCAAGGATTGCTGGTGGGGAATGGTGCATCAAGGGAAAAGAAAGCGAGAAACGCTGCAGTTTCGCGAGTATATTTTAGCCTTCTCAAAAGCTGTAAAAGGGAGGTTCTATGACATTGCCATGAAGGAAATGGTATAGAAGAAGTATTCAGAAGAGATATCAGATTTCCTCCATTAAAAGACGTCTGCCCTTGGATGTGGACTTCGATGACTCCGGCCCTTGAACTCTTCCAGCGCCCTATCTAAGCCGTTTTTCAATTTGAAAAAGTCCGTAAGGCATACTTGGAGACCACAAGTTCGTCCCAGTCGGAAAACTCGGAAACCACTATGTACCATCAAATGAGCATTGAAGGAGCGAACTAAGTGGCAATCTGATGGGACAACATCGAAGAAAAGGTGGGTGAGATTTAGTGTTGGTGTGTACACCCGAATCTCGTCGCAAGGCTGCAGGTACAAACTTCCGGGCCCTTTATGACAGTGTCTTGGATGGAGCACTCGTCCACTGCGCGAAGGCGATTCAATCAAGGCTTCTCTTTTTCGCGACCTCTACTTCGAAGCGATCAAGCCAGCGTTTGATGGTGTCTATGACAATGGTGTTCACTCCCAATGCCATGTTAGTTCGCGAACGGTTGCCAATGCTCAGTGCAGCGGTGTTGCGAAGCTGTTCATGGAAGAGGATGGCTTGGCTTAGAGATGTCCTCCTGGAAAATACGTTATAAAACTGCCATAAAGTGAGTTGTAGGTACCGATGGAGAGAAACGAGAATTCGGAGCATCCAGAGAAGCTGTTCAAAACCTCCCCTCTAACCAAGAAGGCATATTATTGCATAATTGTCCTTCTGTAGCAAAACTTAGCAAAATAGTTCGTAGAAATCTGAATGATATTTTTTTGGAATGGAATTACTTACTCTAGTTATTTGCTATAAATTATAACATAAAGCTCCGATACGGTTTTTTTTTCGAGAACACATATACTACTGCTAACTAATCGTAATTAATTTTATTACCTTCAGCATAAGAGTGTTCCAATCAAATTTACTAGCAGTAAGCAGCTATTCATAGCTACTGCAGCAGCTCATATTCACCTCAGTATAATAAAGAGGTTATGCCTCTGAATGCGCATATCCAAGAACTTCCAGTGCCCAGCCAATGGCCAATCGTCGCTTTCATCATTCCAGATGAGTCTGGTAGCAATGAATTGACTCCGATGATATAGAAAACCTGATCGGCCTCTGCGAGTTTGATCTGGGATTCGAGCCCCAGATCATGCATCTGATAAGTCGCCTCTTGCCACTGTACCACTTCTCACCATGAGGTTGTCTGAAATTAATAGAGCATAGTGAACTCAGCGGAACCCCGCCTGCAGGAGCCGGGACATGCACCGGGGTGTCGTAGGCAAAACCTCTTGATTTGGTTTCATAAAAGCCCAGACGCCAGAAAAAATTGTTCGCATTTTGGAAACGGGATTAATTGAGTCCAGAGCACTTTAATCCTTATCCTTTGGATTTCTCAATGGTAAAATCCAATGTGTTTTACCTTTTGTTTTTAATTTTATTAGATTTAGGTACAATATGAACAGGACTGACTCAATTAATGCAGTTACACTTAAAAAAACATAATTAATAAATATAATGTCAAACCCGACATTCATACTTTTTTTACACTCATATATCAATTATTATAATTTTCTATCTTTGGAGGTTGAGTAATAAATGAGAACCCTGAGACTTGCTGGAGCGGCGAAACCGCCAAACTACGGCCTTAACCTATCAGATCTAGAATTTGGCCATAGCAATTAGAGAAGGCTTTCTTTCAGCCAACTTACTTGACTCAGAAGGTTTACTTACAATGCAGTGTGTACGTCCACACTTTGCCATGAAACCCATTAAATTATGACTGAGCTCGATTGTTTCCGGTTGTTCACCCACTGTACTTGTTCCTTTTGATTGCTATTTGTTCTGTATGTCAAGACAATGATTCAAAATTAATGATGTTTTGAAATGATTTTCAATGGTAGCCACGGTGTCCTGGCTACTACGCGAAAGCTAACAGGTATTTATTGAATAGACCGTGGAGATTGTAGGTTTTCCTAGTGATTATGATGCCGATAGGTAATGCTGTTGAGTCCGGGTCGAGTAGTTACGTCTTAGGCCGAAGTTTTGCTCGCCAGTCTTGTGAGACCATTGGTTCATTTCTGCGTTGTACAAGTGTGTCATCGGAAATGCTTCCCATTGTTCCAAATAGGATCCTTTTACAATGCAGTGGTACCGTTCCTAACCTTCACTGAGTGGGCGGCCCAGGGTGTACTAATCTGCTGCAAATCGTCGTTCTGCATTAATTTAGCTGAAATACTCCAATTCGCTTGAGAGGGAGCTGCTACTAGTAAGTTTTTTTCGTGAGGGATGCGCCCTAGGGAAATATTGAATATTCAACTTAATCCATTTTTTGATTTCATTTGCATGAGCAGCGAAATTGGTTCTCCAGGCACCCGAAGTTAAGTGTTTATAGGACGACACTTGAACTTCCTACATACTTCGGATAACAAATTCAATGCTACATATAATAGTATGAAGTAGTCATAAATAACAGCCGAAGGAGCACGGAAGGGCACATTGTGTGCACAAAATTTCTTTCTTATATCATTCCGAGCAATTTTGCAAACAATGAGCAGTAGGAGGATGGATCAATCAGGGAAATCAGTCGACCTCATGCGGATTTTCGACATATACTTCAGCAATTGCATCTTTTGGTTCATCGTAGACAGCCTTTGAATGTTCACTTTTCTCCTCTGACTTTTGTGGAATCAAACTTCCGTCGAGTTCCTTCGGATTTCGATTGATGTTCAATCAATCAACTGGCCAACAAGCTAGACGTTTGAGTACATTTCCGACAACTCATTGAAATCCCAAACCTTCCCATTTTTGTTAGGTGCCTGGTTGTTGTTAGTATTTATACAATTCATGTTTTCTCTTTGATTATTTGTGTTTTGTTTTTATTTATGAACTGTTTCTCCATCGTTTGTGAAATGACTGAAGTCCAGTATGGCTCGGCCTGAATTAAAACGAACTACTTCAAACCCATCACATCCAAGTAGTCAACCTCCCATGAG